CAGGCACCATGTCCTGGGAATTTGACTAAAACCAGCCAGGAGGGCCTGACCCACCTTCTCACTGCAGGAGAAGCTTACCTGAATAAGGCTCAGTCCACAAAGTCGTCAAACCTGGCTCTGATATCATGGTAGTTACACTAGGAAAGGAAAGTTTGCAGTTTGTTCATGAACACCCCTCTGGCTGGTCATGCTCTCTCCTGGCTGAGTCTATCCTATCATGTAGGTCTCCACTTAAATGCCATCTCTTTATGAAGGCTTTCCCTGGCTCACCATTCTAAAGTGTCTCTCTTCCTCCCAACATGTCATATTGCTTTTTATTTTTAAAATGTTTCTTATTTATTTTTTAAGAGAGAGGAAGGTAGAGGAATAGAGAGATCAAAACATTGATGAGAGAGAAACCTCAATCAGCTGCCTCCAACATGCCCCCTTCTGGGGATTGAGCCCAAAACCCGGGCAAGTGCCCTGACTGGTAATCGAACCAGTGACATCTTGGTGCATGGGTTGACACTCAACCACTGAGTCATATCTGCTGGGGGTCACATTGCTTTTTTTAAATTTTATTTTTTGTCTTTGCACTTGTATTCTTTAATTAATTGTTTACATATTTATTTTCCTCTACCACACTAGAGGCAGGTCATTGAGAAGTAGGCCCTGGTATCTCTTCTTCATTACTGTATTTCCAGCCTTTAAAGTATGCCTGGCATATATAGCAGGTGCTCAATAAATGTGTCAAGCAGGAACTCAAAGGCTTAGCATGACTTAGTACTAAAGAGAAAGGTGCTAGATCTTTGTCCAGCTTCTTCTCCCTGTATTAACCAGCTCTAACACATGGCCTGGCTACCATCTGTCTATGAGGAAGCCACAGTAATGGTTGAGGTAGATCAACATCATTCTAGTAGGAAGAGATGAAATCTCTTTTTTTGAAAAATATATTTTTATTGATTTCAGAGAGGAAGGGAGAGGGAGAGAGAGAAAGAAGTATCAATGATGAGAGAGAATCATTGATCGGCTGCCTCCTGCACGCCCCACATTGGAGATTGAGCCCACAACCCGGGCATATGCCCTGACCAGGAATTGAACTGTGACCTCCTGGTTCTAGGATGACGCCCAACCACTGAGCCATGCTGCCTAGGTGAGATGAAATCCTTTAATTAGAAGATATGACACAATAAATATCAACCTGGATGAATATATTTTGGATGACTAAATGTAATATTTCCCATTTACATGACTAAACAGATCATTACTAAAGACAGGTTAAAAAGGAAAAAAAAAGCCCAAGTTAAGGTTTGGAAAAACATTTCCTATTTTCCAAAGAAAAAAAGAGTTGAGAATTTTATACTATAAATCATTCAGGCAGAAAACCACAGATTTTCCCATTTCATTTTGGTGAGAACAAAGCAGTTGTTTGCACATTCTTCATGTCGCACCTGCTCTGGCCTGCCCGCTATAAACACCTTAGCCAAAAAGTGTAAATTAGTTAAGCATAGCCTTCTGAACAATGAGAATGACTAAGTACCATCCTTAATTGACAGGCAGTGTTTTTTATTAATCTAGCAAATTTAATAATAATTGTAAATGGGTAAGTTTAGAAAAGTATTGTGCCTTGAAAAGATTTCTGTGAAATATGGAGGCAAGACATTAAGACGAAACACAACAATGTAATAAATAATAATTAGTCTTCCATTCACTGCTCTATTTATTAGAATGACAATAGTACAATATACTTCAAGCTCCTTGAATTGTGTTTAAAATTCTTCTAGGCAAGACCAAGAACAACATAAATGAATAATGCCTCAAAAAAATTATGAGGGATGAAAGTCTCCAAGAAGATGCAATCATGCTGGAGTCAAAAAGAAAACGATTGACATTTTATAAAGAAGAAATACACTGTTAAATCTATCAGGCATTCATTTTTATGGTAAAACAATTCCATTGCATCCATCTAATCTTGTGATTAAGACTGAAAATTATTAATCTGTACCAGCCTATCAAAACAGGAGGCATTGTAGTTATATCTTTCTGAGTAGCAATAGTACATTAATTACAAATGCCTGGCTCATTCTTTGCTCAAGAGCAAATGACAGTTAGCTTGCTCCTACTGCAACTGTTAATGCTACTGGTATTAAAATAAGTAGGAAATACTGAATCAGGTTTCTGACATTTCCCTTCAGTTTATGATCTTCTGATTGATGCCATATTAAAAATGTACTTAGTCATTTAAGTCACAGGCAAGAAGGAAAATGGCTCCCGAACAACCAAAAGAAAAGGGGGGGAGGGGGCGGTGTTGAGGTGTTGCAGGAAGGATATTTTCATGGCAGCCCAAAGAACGAAATCACTGGGAGATGAATCATGATCTCATATAACTGAGCCAAACAAAGACTCTAAGCAAAATATTTAAGTTGGCCTCTAAACAACACAACAACAGCAACAACAAACCTTTAGCCTGTACGAGGTTAGATTTTACAGACAGTGCTTTTGAATATGACAAGCTGCTAGAATACAGCAACTGCTTGCACAAACGGTTCTGAATCTCAAGGTTCTTCACATCGGAGCAAACCTCGGGGAGGTTTGGGGTTTACAGCATCTTTCCCCGAACACATCTACAAGGACGTTTCCACAAAGGCTCAATGTGCACTTATCATTGGGGTGGGCTTGGCTTTGGGTCTTTCTCTATCGAGAGCTCCGAGGTTACCAATGGAGGGATCAAGGAAAACAAGAGCCTAAGCATTTTCTGATTCTCAGAATTTCTGAGATGCCTTTTGTTTCGGTGGCGCTGGTGAACTCGTGATAATGAAACTACACCTTTGTACACAAACCTTGACCAGCATTCTAGAGCACATTTCAAAGAAAACCTTAATTTTGAAAGTACTGAGCACAAAGGAGGGAGGAAAAAAGCTCTCACTGTGCAAGCTTTCTCTATATGTGCAGAAAAATGTCTTGTTTTTAAGGCTTGAAGACCGCATTTTAAAAATGTCTAAAACCAGTTCAGACTCTATATCAGAGGAAAAAGAACTATAAATTTTTCATTAAACATTTGTTGCTTTTTTTTAAGACAACCTTTTGCATATCTGTTATTGCATTTAAAAATAAGATTTGGTTACCAAGGAAACAGGTCCTGGCCCAGTGTTAATTTGAAAAACTAAAATATATTTGAGAAGTTAACCTCAAAGGAAAGAGCCCATGAAATTATTTTGAATAGTGCTAGAATTTGGTACTTGCAGAACCACAGCTGTATGGTCTGCAATGAGCCATCCTAGACACTGTTTCATTCATGAAGCTCTTTTTCTTCTAACAGGACCATTTACATTTAATATTTCTCCCTTTAAAATTGTAACTCTTCCTCTCCCTAGTAATAGGTATATAAAAGTGTATTTATTCTTGCATATTATCTAAAATTAATCTTTAAGTATATGTTATTTTCATCTTTCATATAACACGTTTAAAGACCGCTTCTTAAAATTTAAATATTTTAAATGTTTCATATTAAGCTTGTTTGCGCTCTTCGAAATTATCTCCAGAAACCCATTTATTTTTAGTTTCAAGCTAAAATGGAGCTGAATCAACAGACTTTTCCAAAAAATTCTTTTGTTGTCTAACGGCGCCACACCTACTATACATATGGTTTTTAAAAAAGAAAGCATCTTATTGCAGAATCATTTTATAAGTTTATAAAAGCTATATATTTCTATACTATCTGACTAGAAAAGGCTATCCAATTTAATACCCCCCTCCAAAAAAATTACAACTGTCTTATTTAATTTTTGTTTTAAAAGTCATATTTTAATCCATAATATTCTTGCTGCATGGCTCAAATTCTATAAAACATGCAAATTTCGACCTACCTGTATGTATCACTTAATGCAATGCTAGCATGACAAGACACTCAGCCATTTTTATGTGAAGCGATGGAGACCGATTTCTCCGTCTTCTTGCTCACAAGTTTTAGATGCAATTGTCACACACAAAAAAATCATACGCAGAACAGCTTGGATGCACTGTGATCACGAGAACTGAATTTATCAACAGGAAAACAGGATTGAAAAAAGGAAGGTTCTCATCCAAGGTTTCTCTGAGGCTGCAACCAAGGAGGTGGTGTGTTGAATGTTTTCCCCTTCCTCCTCTGAGAGTTCAAAGCCCGAAGCTGACCACTGCAAAGGCCACTGTCACATTTGCTGAAAATCAAACCACTGATACCAGCACTGAAAATACAAATTTGAGAACCAAGTTGTTTGCACACCATGGCGTGCATAAGAGTTAAAAATAGGTCCCACCTTACCTCCTACCTGCATAATAAACACGGAAGTTTCAAGTGTTTAATTTGATAGTCACATTAATTAACAATACAACATACATTATTTAAAAGACAGCAAATGCAAGAAGAAAGGGGAGACACCATCTGGTAGCAGAGTTTTGTTGTTGTTTTGTTTTTAGGGCTTTTTTTTTTTTTTTTTAAAAAGGTAAAATCCTATTTTGAATGTGATGAAAAGCAAACATCCAGAAGCAAATGAATCGGAACTGAAAGGTGATGTTGAAATATCTAAGGCTGAAATGAGGCAAAAACAAGTCTTCACTACCAGATGATATGGCATACAGAGCATTTACATACTCACATCTGAAATACTAGGCAACGTGTAATGAATTCTATACACAGCATGCACACAGCACCAGCACAGCTAATCCTGCCTGCCATCTTAGGCTCGCAGGAGCAAGATACGCAATGCATGCAGCACACGAGCACTGGGGAAGGAGGAGGCAAGGAACGGCTCACCTTAAATGCAGTATCTGATTAATGTTGGAAGTGACATTGCATATCAGCCTCAGAGTCCTGGTTCAACTGGGGAGGAGGGAACAAAGAAAAATGTCATCAACTGGTGATGCAAGATGAGCCCAATCACTAAACACTATTTAGCCAACTCCAAATTCTGCAACCAGACAGTAGAAGGCATTTCATACATTTAAGCAGAGCTGCTGCACAATGACTGTGTCCTTCTGCTTCTGAGAATCAAATAATCCTTTTGCTAAGGAAGAAAATCAGCTGGAACGGATACTGTCATGTCATCTTCTTGAAGAAAGCTTTCAATACAGTATGTATCTGGTTTGGGATGCATTTTATAGACTGTTAATTTCATAGAACTGCTAATAATAACAACAAAAAACCAAAACTGTTAAGCTATAGCAAAGTCAAAAATAATATTATAAAAGGTGTAGCATTTCTAGATTATTTTTAAAAATCCTAATTGGTGCCGGCAGGCTTGTAGAAGAATGCATGATCAGCTGTCTGTATCGGTGCTATAACCTCTAACCACAAGCGTGTAAATGTATCCTGCTAAATGTATCTGCAGTACAGAACGGCAGATACCTCCTCAGCTGGAATGGTATTCTAATGTGAATAAATTTGCTTAAACTTAGAAGCAGAATACAATCAGGACAGAAAAATAAATTGATGCTGAGTTCGTTTGGATACATAGCTGACCAGCACGGACGATAAAAGCTAACCAGGATGCTGACCTAAATAATGTTGACTTGCAGCAGCCTACTGTCCTTGCTCAAAACATAGGATATGCAAAATTATATTTCTCCTCCCTCCCCCTGCAAAAGCTAAATTGTAAAGTAACAAGCCATTAACAGAAATCCAAAAGGCTATAGTTACAGAGAGGGAGAGTACATACTGTAAGAGAAGAAATGGTGTTGTGCTGAGATGCAACGTTTCTTTGTTTCACTTTGAGGCTTATCTTTGCTACGCTTGCACGACGACATTGACATCATGGAGGTCAGGGCTGACACTGGGGTGCTATCCGTTTTATGAGTGAAATGTTTTCTGAAAATTAAATCTCATCTACTCGAACACCAAATTTCATGTCTTCTTCAATACCACCTCTCTACCTTCGCTGCACAAGATTGATGGGATCTAGTTTGGCTGTATGTAATAAATTGGAAACGCCTTCTGTAGAGATTCCAATACATAATTGTAGGAATTAATTTTTTAAAACAAAAACCTTTAAGAATTCTTATGCATCCCCTTTCAATCTTTTCTATCAACGCACACACGCACGCACGCGCATACAGACACACACACACACACACACACACACACAATTGAAGCTCAAATTGCAATGAAATGTTTAACATGTGGAACAAAAAAATGTGGAAAGAGCTGCTTATTCAGGATTTTGAAGTAACGCCTAATAAGCAAATACTGTTTTGCTACAGAACCAGTGTCACCATGTCCCCAAAGAGAGGAAAACAGCATAGCTTGCTAGAAAAATTTCCTCCATTTCCTGCCGGCAGGTAAAAAACAGAAAAGCATTTACCACGCTGTATAAAACAAGAAGTCTTTTATTTTTAAGGAAACAGAGCAGATTATTTTCCATTCCTTCTTCAGCTACAAAAAAACCATACCCACCCCCACCCTTAGATCCTGGACATAAGCCAACATTTTTATAAAATGCTATGAGACTGATTTTGAATACATAATATTTACTTTTCTTCTTCATATCTCTTCAAGGTCTTTCATTGCCTATTGCATCACTGAATATGCTAATGTTAGTTAATTTTAACTCGTGCAAAAAGAAATTAACATTTTCTGGAGTTGCTAGTTTTCCAGCGCCTCTATTTTCTATAAGGACTGGCTAAAAATAACTGGGTTAGCAAAACATTCAAACTCCCCAGAATTTTTTTTAAAGGAGAAAATGTATTCGAATATCTTACTTCGGTACTAGGTTTCACAACCGATCTTTTGTTTCTGGTTTTCATTCTATCTCCTCTCCCAGAATCCAAGTGATTTTTAGCTCAATATGTGCAAAGTACCCCGCCCAGCTCTATCCCATACATTCGGATACTTTAAATCCGAATGGGGTTGTCCAGATGGTTGATCATACCTGAACCACACTGAGTCCTCTTCTCTTTGGAGCACATCTCTCCCTCCCACAACTATTCCAGAAATAGACGTGGCTCTAACGGAAACACCAATGGTGGAACCATCTTCCCCACCCCCACCTCATTGCCCTATGAGCTCTGTTAGCATTGACAGCGACAGAAAATTAGAATGGAGTGTCCTTAGGCTAATTCCTTCTGCACCACGGGGGTCGGGAATGAGAGACTATCACTCTGGGTTACAAGGTACCAGTTTAATAGAAGGTCATCTGTAAAGCAGAGTCCTGAGAGTGGGGGCGGAGGAGGCTGAAGCGAACACCTAGGCATTTGGTTCTATTCGTGTCTGTTCATATATTCCCCATGAATAACATCTGAAAGCTAAACATTCACATTTAAAACACTCACACATTATTATCATGTAAGCTAAGTAGTCACGCTATAGAATCAACTCTAACCCCTTGGAACTCAGTTGATGCCGCCTCTTCCTGGGAAAATAAATGACAGCGGCAAGGACAGTAATCCATATCAGGCTCCCAGGAGATGAGTGAACAGTGTCATGCCCCTTTACAGGAGCAGGGTGGTGAATGTGGTCAGGTCCCCTACTGGTACTGGTAAGCCGATGCCTGGGCAAGTGGTCTCCAAACCTCCTTGTGGGGTTCTGTGTCCACGCTCTGCCAAAACGAGCCTAAAAGCTATGTATTGGCTATTTTGTGATGTTCCCAAAACACTCCATGAGCTAACGTGCTCTGTTCACCAAACCTGATTGTGTTAAAACGAATTTGAACTGTAGCTGAAAGCACTCAGATGGATGAGCTTGTTTAGGCAGACATTCTCTGACTAGTAAATCCTGTTTTGTACTTGAAAAAAATCATGTGCATGCCTGAATTACGCAAGCTTTGTCATGATTACAAGTGGTAAGGGTAAGCATTCACTTATGATTTTTGTCTTTCTTTTATTTATTAAATTGAGTGGGGTGATACTGGTCAACATGAACATATAGGTTTCAGGTGTGGGTTTCTATATTATAAGATCTGTATACTGTGTGCCCACCACCCAACGTCAAATCTTCTCCTGTCACCTTATATTAGGATCCCATTCACCCTCCCACCCCACCCCTTTCCCTCTGGCAACCATCACACTGCTGTTCGTGTTCATAAGTTTCAGTTTTATATCCCATATATAAAAGCTTTTTAGCTTTTTCTGACTGACTTATTTCACTTAGCATAATGATTTTTAAAAATTCATGCTCCTCACCAACATCCTCGGGGTTTACGCACAGACATTAATGTAAAAGACAAATCCCTTTCCCACGTTGTAAATGTTGACCTGTTTTTGCACTGGGAACCCCAAATAATCTGGCAGGAGCAGGCGGGAGAAGGCAGAGCAGCAGCGAGGAAGCGTCTTTCACATAGATTAAGGCTCTCACTTGCTCCCCGTCTCATTGTTCTGCTGTCTGAGCTCATTTTATTTTCAGTCCTGTAGGTTAAAATTAAATTGCATGGCTTACGCAAAGAACATAATTCAAGTACAAGCCTCCATGTTTTAAAAAATGTAGTCAGGGCACGGAGTCCCAGAGGAATCCTTAGTTGATAAACATTTGGATCGGTTTGCACATTTCTTTATTCCACTCACTGCATTAAAAATTACAGCTGGTTTCCGGTTTTACCTAATATAGATATTCTACATTTGTGGGTAAGTTTGTTATCGGGTTAGGCTGTTTTGAGCTAAATGTTTAAAAATAAAATATTTACCAAATATAACATTTTTGTTTAAATTCTTAGAATTTAAAAGTTTAAAAAAATTTTGATGAGCTTGGTTATTTTATCTATCTGTAGTGCATTTAGCCTTGGAAGCAACAAGGTTACAATCTCTCAATGGCTGAAAATGTGCTTTTGGATGATATTTTAGCCTAAATATTTTGGAAAGTCCAGTGTTACTTCGATCATCTACATTTTGCCTAGAGATCTGGGCAGGAACTTCTATTTTCTACCTTGATCAGAGCTGTCTATTAGAACGACCATTTATTGAGAACCTACTATATTCTCAATATTTTAGCTATATTATTTAATTCTAAACCAATAATCCTGCAAGGTGGAACTTAGTTATTAGTTATCAATCAACTTTAGCTGAGGAACAAATTGAGATTGCTAGTCACACAGTTAGCACAGTGAAGACTTAAACCCACACCTCTGACTAATTCCAAAGTCACATGCTCCTTTGTGGTCTTTCCACCAATTCTGACAGGATAAAACCTCCTTCTTCTACATTCTGCCCTGAAGTAGGAATCTTTTTACTGTGTAGATGACTAGTCGAGGGGAACGCCCTCCCTGAAACCACAACCACCCAGGTTTGTAAGAACCAGCCTCAACTCCCCAGTTCCTGAGAATTTGGGGTACCAGGAGGTGGAAGAGACAGAATAAAAGAAGAGGAATGAACTAGACTGTGTTGGAAAGTTAAGGTTAGAAAGCAGTAACAAATAAGCAGTAACAATTTCTTTCAGAGGTTTGTTATAATTTAGAAATGTTTCATGAGGCAAAATAAGTGGAACAGCTTATATTTCCATCTGAGCAAACTACCTCCCCTGGTGAAGCCCAATCTTTTTATGTTACAGATGGGGAAACTGAGGCTGAGAGAGATCTGGTCATTTGCTTAAGATCACACACATAATAAGTGAGTTGACCCATTTGCTGTATTAAAAAGCATATGATCAATTAAAGAAAAATCAGTGTAACAATCAGGACTGACCTGGTTTTCACACATAGTGCTTTGGGCCTGAACAGATAACCCAAGTTGGTATTATGAGTTCCTTCCCCAACATATTTTGAAAATGGGTTTTTAAAAAGCCTAAATTTTGAATAAGAGATTTTTCTCCATCACGGTCAGTGTCTCAACCGCATCATTTTAATGATCGACTCTCTGCTGATATCTGTACATTTTGCCCCTGTTTGGAAGATCCCTTCCACCTCTGAAAGTGTGTGATTCTAAAAATTCCAGCTCGGCTTGCTTTCTGGGTCAGTTAGGCCAAGCGCAGGACTCCAAGTCCCCTGCCGCCTGGTTATATGGCCAGCTGACTATCTCCCTCATTGGCAGTAATTTTATATGCCAACCAGATGGCTCTCAAAGGGGGCTTTCTAATCAACTCTATCAGCTCCACCCTGCCTGGGAATCCGAGAGGAGGATTATCTTCTCTGCTCCTGAGGCAGAAGGAAGGGTTGGGTGAATAGGCATGCCTGACAAGTCTGAATTCCAGGAAGCCCCCTCCAGGTCTCAGACAGGAGCTTTCTCACTCCCATCCGTGAGCATCCGTGTGTAAGACGTGGGAAGGGAGCACACATTTGATGGCAAGGATCTGGCAGCAGGCCTTGGGGACCAAACTGAAGTTACCCTCCAGGAAAGAACTGGAGGGAGAAGGGGAATGTGGACCATGTGGTTTGCAACAGAGAAAAAGTGGTACATGACTTAGGGCTGCAAGGGAGACTGTGGTGGATACCATCCCACCCCAGCCTAAATTTAGCTCAGACTCTCCTGTGGGAATATCCTCAATGTCTCACCACCATTTTCAATATCACTACCTCAGCTTTGGCAACAGAATAGTTCCTGCTTTCATTTCTCAGCGCACTTGAAATGTGGCGCTAATAAAGGCCTTGCATGCTCTCGGAGACCCAGAGCTTTCCTGCATCCCTAATCACATGCTCATTTGTGGCCATGACTGTTTGCCACTCCCCAAATGGAGAGCAAGTAGAACAACAGGGTCTTCTAGATCCTGAATTGGCAAAAATAAATAAATAAATAAATAAATAAGCAAACATATTCAGCAAGAAGACTGAGTGAGTTTCTTCTTTCTAGAGCAGTGGTTCTCAACCTTCCTAATGCTGTGACCCTTTAATACAGTTCCTCATATTGTGGTGACCCCCAACCCTAAAATTATTTTCGTGGCTACTTCATAACTGTAATTTTGCTACTGTTATGCATCGTAATGTAAATATCTGATATGCAGGATGTATTTTCATTGTTACAAATTGAACATAATCAAAGCATAGTGATTAATCACAAAAACAATATGTAATTATCTATGTGTTTTCCGATGGTCTTAGGCAACCCCTGTGAAAGGGTCGTTCGACCCCCAAAGGGGTCGCGACCCACAGGTTGAGAACCGCTGTTCTAGAGAGATTGGCTAAGTTGAAAAGGGAGGGTGGGCTGTAAATGAAGGTGGAGGAGGAAGAATTCTTACAGGTTGGTAAGATCCACCCCATGTGAGTGCATAATCCTCTCTCTGTATCTTTCTTCATCCTGGGCAACACATATTCCAAGACTCCCCCTGGGAACAAACTCATTTGCTTTCTTTTTTCCCAGACAAGTGACTTTGTAGTTCAGAAGGGCCACAACCATGCACCTCTTCTCCACAGAGCAGCTTAACAAGCTTCAGTGAATTTTCACTTCCTTTGGGCTGAAGATAAAAGCACACGAAGCTTATGTTGTATTGAATTATCTACCTTTACTCCTATCTCGGGGTTGCCTCCGGCAAGTTCTATGTATCTCCCCCGGTACACAGAGCATTGACGGGTGCAACAAAGGGGCTCCTGTGGGAGTGCTCTTCACCGACCTACACCAAACTTGTGGGGGGTGGGGGGTTCCTCTGCTTCCACCGCTACCAGTGGAATCTTCAGCTCTGTACCATGAAGCTACTTCCTAGAATTAGAGAACTCACTCCGTGAGTTCAGGCATAGACCTGGGGACTGACAGTACCAATGGAAGTCTTTCAAACACTTAATCCCTGTTCACTCAGGGGAGCCACAAGTTGTCTGGAAAGCTGACCACAGGCTTTGTTGAAATCTGTCCCCTCTAGGACAGGGAAAGGGAGACAGAAGTCAGAGTGACCCCACATAGACATCAGCAATACCACTGCCTTCACAAGATACCTCGGCCTTCCCTCGGGCCCTCGGTGGCACAGCGTGTTTCACAGCATTTTATAGAGCGTGTCACTGAAACTCTCTCTCGGAGGGAGGACAAAGTCGGGTTCAAAGAGCCTGTTGTTACAAAAGTTCTCAGCAAAAGCTGAGGATAAAAGCCATGTTACTTAATTTCTGGCATTCTGCTCTTTGTAATTCAACATACTGGCTCAACTTTTAAAGATTTTTATTCCACACTTTCACTCAAACAGGTACTTAATAAACGGCAATAGAATAAGTGAATTAATGAATAGATGCCAATATAGAGGGCTTATAACTTATTTCCCAATTCATCTCAGAAGAAAAATGTTATTCTTGTTTAATTTTGTTTCATAAAAAAGCTCAACTAAATATAATTTTAAGCAAAATAGTAAATATTGGCCAAAGTATCACCTGGGACCAAGAGTCCCTTGAGAATATCAGAGACGGAGGCTTGATTGCTATATTAAGTCAATCAGATTAAGTTTAGCCAGCGGAAGTAGCCTTTATCCTATTTGGTTTGCAAAGAAAAATCTCATGAGTTATCATGAGCAGCTAAAAATAAGTTGCAGGTTTCATTTTCCGTCGTTCAGTATGGTTTTGAAACCAAAAGGTACATAACTAGGAGATGCACCAAGACCTACTGAAGTTCAACAATTCAAACTGTTACCTTTCTAGCACACCGTCCTGATCTGCAACTCACAGCCAGCCCCCAAAAATGTACACTACTGTCCATCTCAGCATGGTCTCTTGAGATGAGTCCCCCTAATAAATAAGGCATGGCAGGAAATTGGGAGCTGAGGCCAGTTTTGGGGGACAGTGGCTTGTGTGTGTCTTAATATCCGGACAGGATGCCACATAGACATCAGCCCTATTTGCTCAGCCTCACTATTAGGTGACACTATGGACCCCTTTGCAGAGCCAGGGAGTTAATAAAGCCAGAATGTCATTAAGATGGGGCCCTAATGTCGTGAGCGTGGCAAGTACCCCTTGCCCTAAATGCCCATGGCCTTGTGCAATTCCATACTGCACACCCAGGCGGCTCACAATACGTTTAATTTTAAAACTGTCTTTCCAGGGCCAAGTCTGGCAAAAAGGTGTCTGACAGAGGCTAAGTGCCTCAAAGGGAAGGCAGCCATCTCTCACTAGCATTCAGCTGGGCACACGGCCCGGGGAGAGAGCCGTGCAGTTAACAGAAAGCCCTCCGCTGAATGAGATGGAGAGGGGGCAAAGAAGGGTTAATCTGCTTCCATTAGAGGAGGGGCCCTGTGATGAAGGTGAAGAGAATAATCTGTACGAAGAGCAGAGAAGACAAAGCGCCATTCCGGAAAAGACATGATTGTGCAGGGCGAGAAGGGTGATTTGTCCTAGATTTTCACCGTGAGGCCATTTCTTAGATCTGAGTCTTTACCTCACTTTGAAGTTACAGTCTCAGGGAGGGGAAGGGGGCATAGTCACACTCAGGGCTGGAATACTTGAGCTTTGATTCTCACTGAGATGGGCGTCCCTGAGAAGCAGAGGGTGAAACCAAAGCCATCGGAGCGCTGCCACAGAAGCCTACCCATAAATCAGAAAGCGGCAAAATAAACAATAGGAGTTGCTTGTGAAAGAGAAACCAGTGGCCGATCCCTGTTTCCTGGGGCAGGGAACACCCTATATTTTTTTAACTTAAAAAAAAGCAGCTTTTTAAAAATTTGCTTTTAAAAACTTTTTTGGAAATACTTTAAGATTCGCAAAAAGTTGCAAAAATAGTGTGGCGATCATAGGCAAATCCTCTAGTGCCCAAGGCTGTGGAACAGTGGGTGCAGCAGTTACTCTGGAACAATGGGTGCAGCAGCTTCCTTTGGGTTCTAGCTCCGGTGCTTCACTTGGTGCCGTCACAGGAGATGGATGTAGACTTGGAGGTGGATGTGGACTTGGGGATGGCGATTTACAGAATCTGAACATAAATGGGACTGTCAGCAGCTGAACAGTCTGGAGGTTGAACTTGAAAGTCAAATGATGTGATTATTTGGCCCCCAGAAGCTGAGGTAGTAGAGAAAGAAGAAGGGCAGCCAGATATTGTCAGGTGACCAGTGGGTGTGCTCTGATGGGTTTGAGCAGAGTTGTGCAGACAGGACAGATAGTCATACTTCCTTTTAGATGATGTTGACAATTTTTTAGTTTGGTTGTTGTTTGTTTACCATGTTCTCTCCTGTAACAGAATGTTCCAAATTTTCATTTTCAGGTGCCTCTTCTCTGACCCATTGCCCCTCCTTCGGCCAGATGAGCTGAAGGCAGCCTAGTGCACAGCACCTTTCAGATTTAAAGAGGCAGGCACAACTTGGGGGCAGGTGCCTCCCCTGATCATGAAGTTATGTAACCGGGGCTCCCATCGGTGAGGCTGAATCCATGGCAGCTCCCATCTAGCTCTAACTTTGTCTTCTTTTCAACTCATGCCTGCCTTGACCTAAAATTTGCCCACAATGTGGGTCTTGCTCTTGCCCTGTCCTTGCTCTCTTGGCTTCTGACTCTAGACCCCACCTCTTACTCTGCTCTCCTGGCATGGATGTGCATGGCTGACTATGTCTTCCTCCATCTAACTTTAGTGTCACCACCTCCGGTTAGGGCACACTATAGGCTGACCTCTTTAAGTGACTACCGTGGATGACCCCAGAGGGCTGCCCACACATGTCCCGAGATATGGCCCATCGGAAGGCAGATGAGAAGTCCTCTAGTGAGGCAGGAGCTCACTTCAGGAGTTAGTCTTCTTGCTGTGCCTTCTCTCTGCTCCTCTGAGGATGGGTGGATCCGAGAACCTTCGTCTAATCAAGTTTCAGATTTACCTCTCCCACTATATCTCTGGATATCCACAAGGCGGTAAGTGAACTATTCTGGGTCTCAGTTATCTCATATCTACACTAATAAAAGAGAAAAATGGTAATTGGCGTATGACACTACCCTTTTCATTGGCTAATCAGGGCTATATGCAAATTAACTGCCAACTAAGATTGGAGTTAACTGCCAGCAAAGATTGGCAGTTACCTGCCAACAAGATGGCGGTTAATTTGCATATGTAGGCACAATGCAGGGAGGCGAAAGGGAAAGCAGGAAGAAGCCCCCTGCCACTGACAGTGATAGGAAACCCAGGGGGGAGCTAAGAGCTGGGGGTCCCAGCCATGATCGGAGAATAAGGCACCTT